GGTGTTTGCGCTCCCGCGGATGTCCGGTCCCCCCCGGCAGTTTGTGGCTCTCTGCGCCGCTGGAGCCGCTGGAGCCCCGAGGGGAGGCTTCAGCAGAGAGGAGCTGAGGCTCCGAGGCTACTTTTTCTCTTATTATAACCATAGGACTCTGATCCAGACCGGGGAAAAGACCGGTTTTCCCTTCGTTTTCCATCCGGGAGGGATCTAGAAGCTTATTTTAGCCTGAATTTTCGCTGTTCATTTTCTCCTGTTTCTGGAGGTAGCACTGGTAAGTTCTAAATCACTGCAGTGCTCATGTTTAGCCAAACCATGCCGCAAGTTTCGGTTGTTGTCGGAGTCTTGAACTCCCTGAAATTCAGGCTGGGGGAAAGAGCTGGGGAGAAGGGACACATCCCACATGGATTTCTGTGCCCATGGCCGTCACCAGTGTCCCCAAGAATGGACCAGGGAAAGCTGACCCGCTGCAGCTGGGTGAAATTTGGGCATCTTGACACATTTATGGCTGAGGGAAAGGAAAATTCCGAGGAGACACTGAGCAGAAAGCGGCTCCTACACCTTCCCTGCGTGCTTTTACAGATGCCCTGCTTCCAGCAGTATTTCGGTCTCCCCCGCAATGATTAGAGCTCGAATTATTTGAGGGTTTGGTGCGTTTGAAGTATGACTTAGAACCGCCTTGTCCAAGCTTCCTTAGGAATACGCCCTTGGATGTTCCCAGGTGTGTGCCCACGCTGGGGGCAGCTGAGGGATGCTGTCATTTAGTGATCTTTTAGCTCCCAGTGTCCCCAAAGGGGGGTTCCCACGTGTAACTTGGCTCTCCCCATCATTTCAACTCCCCTTGCCACTTCCTGGCTGGTGGGTGTTTCCACACACAGAGGCAATGGATTCTCGTCTCTCACCCTGCACATTCCTTCAAGTGGTTTCCAGTGCATGAAGCTCAAACAGGGATTTCTGGAAGCTGTGTTGCTTCCACCTAGCATAGCTCCAGCCTGGTGGGTGCTGCAGCGGATGCTGCAGAGACCCCCAAACTCCTGCCCACATATTGCAGCCTTACCTTTGTTAAGGCAAGCAGAGAGCCAGAGAAATACCCAAATCAACTCTTCCACTTATTCCGGGCATCCTGGCTTACCTATTAGTTTTCCAAGGCAAAGCTCCTGGGGAGAAGTTTGTTTGGGTTTGTTTGGGAATGCTATAAGGTCCTGAAAGGTCCCAAATGACCAACCCAGGAATTGCTTCACAGTGGAGGCTCCTATTGCACCAACCCAGATGAAGTTCACAAAGACTTTATGCCTCAGACTACGCTGTTCGTTCGAGATTAAATGTCTTCTAATAAAAAGCTGTGGTCAGTTTAACTCCAAACTGCATACTTTTCTTTATCTGTGGCCTGGAACTCAGCAAACTATGCAAAGTCCCATTTAAATTAATGGGATGCTTCAGTACTGATTTTAATGGGGGTTTGTATAATAAAAATAACACTTAGAAATGCCCTAACATTTTGTTGCAAACTTGCAACAAAAGTTGCTGGAACTGGGATAATAAAAATGCAGGCTTTATATGAAACCTATGAAGGGTTTGTCATTAACTTCAATGGCACAGTTTCAGGCCTTATTATTTTAGTATACCCTTTCTATAAGTAAAGAATTACTTATGTATCAATTAAACAAGAATTCGTGATACCTTTTCTGTTCCAGCCTGGCAGCTTGTATGTTAAAACTTAGTTTGATATTATCAAACCAGCCAAGATATTTGAACTCGTAAACCAGCCTGTATGCAAGAACTGAGAACAAGTTAAAATAAGAAACTCCACATTGTTTATGCTTAGAGTTTGCCCATCAAACAAAGCGAAGTTATTACTTCTCAAACCAAAAATGCTTCACATCCCTCCTTTAATCTATCCAGGAGAACAGTTTTCTGCTCACCCTCCTAGAAAACAGTAAAAAACCTCCTTCAAAGTGAAATATGTTTTAATTAACAGAGCTGCAAAATAAAATCCACAGCTATGCAACGAGCCTCCTCTGCAGCTCACCATTGTGCGAACCGCTCGGGCAAGCTGCTCTGATTAACAAGCTACAGGCTACGTTCTGCTCCAAACTGATTAAGCTGGAGGGCTGCAGGCAGATTTCCTATCAAACCCCGCTTCAATGGGAGCCAGCCTTTTCTTTTGAGCAAGAGCTTTCCTTGAAACAGGAAAAAAATCATTTGTTTATCCCTGGCTCCGATTGCTCTAATGAAGAAAGCACATGCACAACATTTTTATTTACCAAAAAGTTCCCAACAAGTAAAGATTCCCATAGGAAACAAGAAAAACACAACACGTGTGTTTGATTTTTTTCCCCCCTTCTTCACCCAAGTAATTTCTTGCACAAAAAACCTCAGGTAACAAAGTTCAGTCTCTGCCAGAGATGAGGAAATTTACTCACAAGTCTTCCCAGGAGATCAGTGGAGCCTGTGCCCATGGGCAAACCCCACTGATGTAAATGAGGAGCCCAGAACCAGCTCCTCCTTGTTGCAGCCCTACAACCCACGGCACTGAGCGATGCCTCCCCACAACAACAGGTCAACCAGATCTCCATC